GACCACTCTTCGGGTGCTGCTGTACGTCGCCGCTCAGTGTGACTACGAGCTTCACTCTCTTGACTTCAGCACAGCTTTCTTACAGGGCAGCCTGCACAAGAAGATCTAGCTGTGCCGCCCACGTGGCTTCACTGGTTCGTTTCCTGCAGGTACCCAGTGGAGCCTCCGGTGGCCAGTCTACGGTCTCCGCCAGGTGCCTCGTGAGTGGCTCAACACACTGAGGACGATGCTTGCGTCTCTTGGGTTTGCTCCTTCGACTGCTGACCCGTCGATGTTTCTGTGCACCGACACTTCGCTGCCGCCGTTCTACACCCTCGTGTACGTCGACGACTTGGTCTTTGCCACTGCTGACACTGAGGGACTGGCCCTTGTGAAGTCGGAGCAGCAGAAGAGACACACGTGCATAGACCTGGGTGAGTTGCGCAGCTATCTTGGCTTGCAGATCACCCGAGACAGAGCACGGTGCACCATTACACTGACTCGGTCACACATGGTGCACCAGGTCCTTCAGCGCTTCCGCTTCACTTGGTCCTCGCCACAGTGCACTCCTCTGGCTACTGATCACTCGCTCTCATCTCCACCTTCGGACGAGTCCGTAGAGCCGAGTGGCCCATATCCAGAGCTTGTGGGCTGCCTCATGTACCTGATGACCTGCACTCGACCTGACCTTGCTTACTTTCTCAGCATCCTCGCACGCAACGTTGCGCCCGGGAGTCATCGACCAGAGCACATGGAGGCCGCTAAGAGGGTATTACGCTACTTGTGCAGTACGTCGGGCATGGGGCTCGTGTTAGGAGGACGGAGTCGAGTTGTTCTCACTGGCCATGCTGACACGCCTTAGGTTGACGACTTGGCTACGCAGCAGCCGTCACAGGGTTACACTTTCAGCCTTGGCTCCGGTTCTGTTTCTTGGCAGTCTACCCGCTCGTCGTCTGTTCTTAGTTCTAGTTGTGAGGCTGAGATCTACACAGGGGCTATGGCTGCGCAGGAGTTATGCTGGCTCACCTACTTGTTGACCGACTTGGGAGAGCGGCCTAGTTCTCCTCTTGTTCTGTATATAGACAACAAGGCCATGATTGCCTTCTGTCAAGAGCACAGACCGGAGCACAGGACGAAGCACATTGCTCTGCGTTACTTCCTTGCTTGAGAGTTGCAGGAGTGTGGTCCGCTTCGTCTTGATTACGTGGCCACTCGGGCCAACAGTGCCGAAATATTCACCAAGGCACTTCAACCTCGTGATCATCAGCGTGTACCGTTTTAGGCCTTGTGCCTACTTTGCCTCACTTGGTTACTTCGTGACTTTGCTTGTACTGTGATCTATATACTTGTACCTGCATGCTTACACCTGCTATGTTGTAATCACTGTACTGCTTGTTCCCATATCTATAACTCTGCTTGTGAACTGTCCTTGTGACCACTTGCTTGTGCTCAGAGTGTGTGGTGACGTCGTGATCCACCCTGAGCTTGCTTTGCTTTTCTTGACTGGTCTTGTGACCCCTTGTTCTCCCCAACTTTGCCTATGGGGGTGTGTCAAACTATAATGCTGCTTATGTTGTGTAGGCTGTTGTGGGGTAGCCTATATTGGGTACAACCTGTCAAGATCAGCAGGCAGAAACAGAATTGAAGAAAGGAGGGGTTTCACTAGCAGTAGTTGGGATACATATAGCAAACCCTAACAGGGTTGTACTCGCTATAGAGCACCCCACTACAGGCTAGATAATAACATTCTGACACACCCCCATAGCCAAAGTGGGGTGTAATCAGCACAATGAGCAGGAGTTCACAATAATAAGCACAGCTAGAGGTAATCACAGCGGGCAAGTGAGGAGGAGGAGGAACTGTGGAAGGAGAGAAGATGGGAGGCAACGACTGAAGCTGCAGAGGCACGGGCACAGGAGCGGCTGACTCAGTGGCTACCGAAGCAAGGGCGACGGACTACTGGAGTGACTGGCTCCGCGGCTAAGACGAGCGGCAGGAGCAACGGACCCACTGGCGACTGGTGCAACAGGCTCACTGGCTACCGAAGCAAGGGCGACGGACTACAGGTGCTGCAGGCGACACGACAGCTACCTCCACACAACCTCCTCCAACTGACCCACACCCTTGACACACACCTACTGCTGAACCCCTAACCCCACTCCCACGTCACCCCCCTAGCACCACTCCTTCGGCTCCCACACACCCACCCCCCTGAGCGGCAGCTGCAGCAGCGGGAGACGGAGGAGGAGGAGGAGTAGGGGACGGGGCACACAACCGGCACCCCAACAACTGCCACCCCCACACTCCCCATCCCCAAACCCTAAAACGGGTGGCACGAGGTAGGAGCGCGGGGGAAGGCGCGCGGCCCCCAGGGCGCCACCATGGGGCAGCGAGGGGCCGCGCGCGGCCCCCCAGGGCGCCGCGACGGGGGGCAGCGGGGGGGTCGCGCACGGCTCCAGGGGCGGCTCGCGGGTCCCCGGGGGCGACGCGAGGGTCGACGGGGTGCCGCGCGCGGGTCCAGCGGGTCGACGCGACCGTCGACGGGGCAGCGGGGGGTCGCGCGCGGCTCCCTAGGGCGGCGCGACGGGGTGGCGGGGCGACGCGACCACCGACGGGGCAGTGGGGGCAGCGCGCGGGTCCCCCAGGGCGACGCGACGGACAGGGCGGGGGCGCGCGCGGGTCCCCCACGGTAGGAAACCGCCGCGCGCCTCGGGGCGCACGGTGGGCAGAAACTCGCCGCGCGCCCCGAGCGCACGGCAGGAAGAAGACGGCGCACGCCCGAGGCGCACGAGAAGCAGAACAGCAGCGGAAGCAGTTAGGTGGTGGGCCCACCCACAGGATCGACCAAAGGGGGTCGACCTGCTCTGAAACCATGTCAAGATCAGCAGGCAGAAACAGAATTGAAGAATGGAGGGGTTTCACTAGCAGTAGTTGGGATACATATAGCAAACCCTAACAGGGTTGTACTCGCTATAGAGCACCCCACTACAGGCTAGATAATAACATTCTGACACAACCCAATTAGGGTTAGTACTTGTACTCAGTTTGATGTCAATGCAATCATTCCTGCTCGTTAGTTTCTGACAAGGCTACCCCACTACAGCCTACAGACATACAAACACATTTGACAAGATCTTGCTCCTCGGGGCGACCTGCCACTCCCTATACGTGCTGCTGCTACTTTTGCCGTGGTTGTGCATTTGCTGCAGCTCCTACTGCACAATTTCGCATGATGTCATTGCTCCTGCCTCTTGCTGCTGCTTCCACTGCCGTGGGTGTACCACTTCATGGATGTTCTCCACTAGGTCCTGCTGCAGGCAGTTATGGGGCTGAAAATATATTATATATTTTTTTATATAACTGCCTATAATCGTTATTGTATTGTAGTTATTTACCTTGTTTGGTGGTGCTCCCTTTGATTGCCTATATATTGTACCTCTTTTGTATTATTGAACATCTTCATTTCGGCCACTTTCATACTCTCGTAATTCACGCTACTCTCGACACCATCTTCTAATCTCATTAGTTAAGCTAATTTCGACACCTTGGCATATTTTTCTTATTTCTTGAAGCACGTATGTTGATTTCACCCTCAGGTATGATATTGAACATTTCGCGCTCCCGCCGAAACACGCTTTAGAAAAAAACCATTCTGAGGCCAGCTGAGGCACCCTGATCCATATGCATGGCCTAGATATAGTTTTGGCATAAATTAGTCCGAATATTTTCGCCCTGCAACCATTTGGAAAAAGACATTCAGACAACAAATATTATGTCTGAAATTGATTATGAATCTCACAAAACAGGGTAGTTTCTGTCCATTCTTATAACACTCCCCTTTCCAAATTTATTATTTTGGTGAATTGGGTTCGTAACAAGCACAGTAACGGTGTTCGCTCTGCCAAACCTCGTCTGTGCGCCAAGCGTCGTTCCATTTCGTTAGGAATTCTTGGCAGCCACTGCTCCAGGCGTGATCGAAACCAAAATTCCGTTTTTTCCTGTTTCCGCACAGCTGTGAGCAGCCTAACACGCGGGAGGTAATTCGGTCATACAATTGATGCCTGTTTGAGCCCCTCCCGGTTGCCTTGTGAAGGGGGCGTATAAGCTGTAACGAGCTTTTCGCATGAGTTTCGTCAATTCGCAGCTAGCTAAAAAGGATTCGCAGGTGCTTATAAACAAGATCTGTTACCTTATTTGACTTCAGTCTCTTCTGCTTGACCTCGGTCTGTTCGTTACTATTGGTTGATAACCACGCGACGCGCTTATAACGCGGGAGCAACAGGCTGGGGAAACAACCTCGGGTGCAGCGTTTCCATCCGGCGCAAGGCAAATCCGCGTGCACTGGTTGGGCATCAATTGTATCAGGGGCACACACACGCCGTTTGAGCCGAGGCCACCAGCCCACCATCTGCGGGTTTGACTCGCGAGCCACACAACGCCGCGCCGCGGGTGCGGTGAGGTGCGAGGCGTGTCTGCGCGGCGATTGCAGCGGAGCGACTGCAGCGGAGTGACTGCAGCGGAGCGACTGCAGCGGAGCGAGTGGTGGCCTGGGAAGCGCGAGGTGACGTGACGCCCAGTGCGCGGTGTCTCGCTCGTAACGGTGGCAGTCGTGCTCGGTGGGTGTGCCGCCGTGGCTCGCGCGCAGGGAAGAGTGGGAGGGGAGGGAAAGGGGGGAGGGGAGGCAAGGGAGGGAGAGGGGCAGGAAGGGGAGTGGTGGGCTGGGGAAGGCCGAGAAGGGGAGCTAGGATGAAAGGTGTAAGCAGAGAAGGGAAAGGTTCGCCGCGCTTGTGAGGAGTGGGTGGAGAGGAGCGGATGGCGTGCCGACGGCCGAGGCGCATGACCCACCGCCATGCCTCGTATTCACCCCTCTTCTCGTCCCATCCTTACTCTGCCTCCCCACCTCACATCTCCCCCCTCTTTGCCCTCCTTCCTCTCCGCTCCCCCCTCTCTGCCTTCCCCCCTCTCTCCCTTCCCCCCCTGTCTGAACCCTTTGGATTTTCGCACCTCTCGTCGCCCGCTAGGCAGCGTCTTTTTGAAGTGATTCCACCTGCAACGCCCTGCCTCATCGCACTCACGCCACCTCGCACCGCTCTTCACCGCTCCGCGCCATGGCCACTACGTCAGGCCCGGAGCCCCCGGGGAGCACAGGGAGCGCAGCAGCAGGTGCGGTAGAGGAGGAGGAGATGAGTTTGTGTGTGCGGTGGGCGGGCAAGGAGCTGACGGTGGGCGCCAGCGGTGACGACACGGTGGGCGAGCTGAAGCGGCGCATCTGCGAGGCGACGGGCGTGCTGCCCACCCGGCAGAAGCTGCTCAACCTCAAGCTCGCCGGCCGCCCCGCCCCCGACTCCACTCTGCTGTCCCAGCTCGCCATCAAACCCTCCCTCAAGATCATGATGATGGGGTGAGGCATGGTGGTGATGGGGTGAGGCGTGGTGATGATGGGTTGCATGGTGGTGATGATCTATGTAACCACGTGTAAACATGCACTGACACTTATAAGTGCCTTGTGGATGCTATGTGTACACTTGTCGTCTTTCTTCCTTTTCTTCCTCGGTTAGTTGAGAATGATCCACGGTGCGGCGTGCCTCCCCCCGGCAGCACGGTGGAGAGTGAGATCGTGGTGGGCCCGTCACCACAGGAAGCCCCCGACGTGGACGTGCTGGACGACCTGCAGCTGCCGGAGGACGAGGCCGTGGCCATCAAGGACCGCCCGGAGAACCTCGCCAAGCTCAGACGCCGCTCTCAGCACTTCAAGGTGCGCCGCTCTCAGCACTTCAAGGTGCGCCGCTCTCAGCACTTCAAGGTGCGCCGCTCTCAGCACTTCAAGGTGCGCCGCTCTCAGCACTTCAAGGTGCGCCGCTCTCAGCACTTCAAGGTGCGCCGCTCTCAGCACTTCAAGGTGCGCCGCTCTCAGCACTTCAAGGTGCGCCGCTCTCAGCACTTCAAGGTGCGCCGCTCTCAGCACTTCAAGGTGCGCCGCTCTCAGCACTTCAAGGTGCGCCGCTCCACTCGACTACCCTTTCTATTGCCTTCTTCTCGCCTCCTCACCTTTCCTACTAGGATTATCTTGTGAGTGGTCCCTCTCTCTCCCTCACCCCCTCTTCCCGCTCTTCCCCTCCTCCCTCTCTCCCCTGCACCCCCGTGGCAGCTGAAGGTGCTGAACCCACCGAGGGCGGGCAAGCGGCTGCTGGTGCTGGACATCGACTACACGCTCTTCGACCACGTCTCCCCCGCTGAGAATGCTGCCCAGCTCATGCGCCCCTGTGAGTCAGGCTCATGCGCCCCTGTGAGTGCCAAGGGGCTGCCGCTACGGGTAGATTGTGCGACAATGCTAGTGCGGTGCCTCCCAGCATGCATGTGCCAGTTGCATGCACGTGGAGTGAGCCGATGAGGATGCTGATTTTGAAGGAGGTGATGACATGTGCAGCAGTGGGACGGCATGCGTTGAGGGCGAGCAGGGGTGTGAGAGTGATGTACGGGGCGAGTGGTGTACGGGGCGAGTGGTGTACGGGGCGAGTGGTGTACGGGGCGAGTGGTGTACGGGGCGAGTGGTGTATGGGGCGAGTGGTGTATGGGGCGAGTGGTGTACGGGGCGAGTGGTGTACGGGGCGAGTGGTGTACGGGGCGAGTGGTGTACGGGGCGAGTGGTGTATGGGGCGAGTGGTGTATGGGGCGAGTGGTGTATGGGGCGAGTGGTGTATGGGGCGAGTGGGTGCAGAGGGGCGGGCAGGCTGGTGAAAGTGGAGAGGGCGCGGGGAGTGAATGAGGGCAGAGTTAAGCTAGTGCATTGCTGCTGCACACTCACTGCATCTCACCCACCTCCCTTCTCTCACTCTCTGCACCACACCACCTGCCTATTCCCTCTACTCAGTCCAGCTCCATCCTCCCTCCCTACATCCCACCAGCCCCCCACCCCTCCACCCCTCCATCCCTCCATCCGTCCACCCCTGCCCCCTCCATCCCGCCATACAGACCTGCACGAGTTCCTGGCAGCCAGCTACTCCGCTTATGACATCATCATTTGGTCCGCCACCAGGTGATGACGTCATGCCACCAGGTGATGACGCCATGCCACCAGGTGATGACGCCATGCCACCAGGTGATGACGCCATGCCACCAGGTGATCATCACCAGGTGTTACTAGCCTCATCAGTTGATGATTCTGTGTGAATTCCATTTTCACTCGTCATCTTGAATCATCTTGTTGCTGTCCTCCTGTAACCATGTTCCCATCCCATCTTGCATCCTCCGGGGTGGCGTGTGGGCAGCATGAGGTGGGTGGAGGTGAAGATGCGTGAGCTGGGCGTGTTGGGGCACAGCGACTACCGCGTGCTGGCGCTCGTGGACCACATGGCCATGATCACCGTGCACTCGCCCCACCGTGGCGTCTTCGACTGCAAGCCCCTCCAAATCCTCTGGGACAAGTTTCCCGAGGTGCCCCTGCCTCTCCCTTCTTCCACGCATTCCTTGCCAAATAACCTGCTCTGTGTGTTCTGCTTTTCTTGCCTGCTCCATGCTTTTCATCTTCCTTGCCTGCTCCCACACGCCGCCACATGCACTTGTAACCATATGGAGCTATTCGCAAGTCATGTGCGTTCCTTTGCTCTACATCCACACTCACCTCATTCCCAATAATTCCTTGGGGACGCCCTGCACTCGTCTGTGCTGCACCCCTCCCTCACCGGCCCGTGTGCGGCGGCCAGCACTACAGCGAGGCCAACACGATCATGTTTGACGATCTGCGCCGCAACTTCGTCATGAATCCGCGCAACGGGCTCACCATCCGCCCCTTCCGCCGCGCCCACGCCAACCGCCACTCCGACCGCGAGCTCGCACACCTCACTGAGTATTTGCTCGCCATCGCTGACCTGGACGACTGGAGCCAGCTGGATCACAACCAATGGGAGCGCTTCATGCGGCGCCTGAAGAAGTAGGGTGGGTGTCCAACAAGGCATGGCAGCTTTTGATGCCACGGCATGATGATGTTGCATGTGCTTTGCAGGTAGACGGCTGAATGCCAGATAGCGATGGTAGCACATGGTTGGAGCGAGCACCACATACCGGTACCGTCGTCGCCTGGATACGGTATAAGACATATGTGTCCTATTTGATACCGATTCAAAAAGTGGCTGTCTATCTTGAAAAATGAAGGATGTTGAAGTTAATAATTTGACTTACCATATCACCCTGAATAGTAGCGCATATGCGCTCATAATAATATCAAAAATTTTAAGGGGGGGCGCTTGTAACTGAGTGTAGGGCATAAGTGCATGCGCGCATGAAAAGGAAAAAAAATGAAATATGCTGTTAGAGGTACCAATCGAAGCCCTTTCTAAGGCAAGCACGATCGTGTAACGTTCACGTGGAATCATGCATGAAAACCTCGCGAAAACAGCAGTGACTCGATTTACCACTGCACAAAAGTCATCCCGAAGCAACGCATATGCCAACGCTGACTCGGAAGCTGCTGTGCGGCCCAATCAGGAACCGATCAGGTGCCAAACAGGAGCATATCGATCGATCTTTCTAGAAGGGGGACGAAGATGCCCTGCCAGTGCTGCATGTGACGGGCCGCAAACTCTCCTCTGCGGGTTCAGGCACCGACACCGAGGCTGGCACCGAGACTGGCACCGACACTGGCACCGAGGCCGGCACCCCGGCAGACATCCTGAGAAACTACCTATTCCAACGCTTCTGCCTGTTAACCGCAAGCGTCCTCACCCCTCTTCTAAGAACCAAGATGCCCGCCCCCTTTTCCCAGGAACAAGCCCTCGCAGCATAAGCGTAACGCTTATACCGCGCAAGAGAAGGTGATGCGGTGGATGTGTCGGTGTCGCTACGAGTGTTGTCTCGCGACTCAAGAATCCACCGCAAATGCCTCTCGGAGTGGAATAGAGCCGCCGCCATGCTCAATGAAGCGTACTCAGAATGGAAGCGGATGCACGGGTGCGGGAGGTCATCGTGGTGCATGCCGATGGAGCTGAAGGTTTACGCAAGGCTACTCAAATGGCGCCGAAGATAGCACAGTTTTGTGCAGCCCCTCAAACAAGAGTAGCAAAGACCAAGTCGTCGACGTACATGAGGATGTAGAACGGCGGCAGAGAAGGGTTTGTGCGCAGAAACAACAACGGGTCAGCACTCGAAAGAGCAAACCCAAGAGACGCAAGTGTCGTCCTCAGTGTGTTGTGCCACTCGCGGGGTGCCTGGCAGAGAACGTAGACTGGCCACCGGAGGCTCGACTGGTTACTTTCAGGAAACGACCCAGTGAAGCCAGGTAGGCGGCGCAGCCCGATCTCCTCGTGAAGGCTGCCCTGCAAGAAAGCTGTGGAGTGTAGCTCGTAGTCACACTGTGCTGCAACATGCAGTTTCACCCAAAGAGTAGTCATCTTCGAGGTGGGGGAGAAGGTATGGAAGAAGTCGATCCACTGTCGCTGACTGAAGCCTCTAGCAACGTAACGTGCCTTTAAGGCAGGCGGAGAACCCGACGGCCACTTCACTCTAAGGCCGCGAAGGGCGGCGACGGGGCCGCGAAGGGCCCGCGAGGGGCCACGAAGGGGCCGCGAGGGGCCGGAAGGGGCCGCGAAGGGCCGTGAGAGGGGGGGGCGCGAGGGGCCGCGAAGGGGCCGCGAGGGGCCGTGAGAGGGGCCTCTACGGGGCCGTAGGAGAGCGCGACGGGCCGCTAAGGGCAGGGGACGCGACGGGAGGGTAGGTACACGGGGCGCGACTCGGGCAGGGGCGGAGCGCGCTCCGGGCAGGAAAAAAAAAATATCGATTTTATGTGGGCCCTAGGAAACGTTCCCACTAGGGAACCTGCTCTATACCATGTGAAAGAACAAGGAATTAATGAACTAGAAATGAGATGGATACAAATGTGAAACCTTTCTTGCTGGAATTTCGTTTCTACGCGGTGTGACGGCGGAATGCTACCTGAGTCAACGCTAGTATGCTAGCACCCCAGTGCTAGGCAAAAGCTGTACGAGCCATAACTCCGTAATGGCAGAACTTTTCGCGAGGCAACTTGGCTCTTTTTAAAGCTCTTGGAGCGAGCTTCGATATAGCAAAGTCTCAGCGGTCTGCAAGATACGCTGCGTGACGTTCAAGGTGCTCTTGTTATTTTGGCTAAGTCATTCTTGATCCCTCCCTCTACAAACTCGGACCCGAGGATAGGGGCTGGTCTTGTACCAGGCACCCAAGGACCCTTGAAGGTGACCCCGAGGAGAGGTTTTAAGTTTGATAAAGTCTTAATAGCTTAAGTTTATTAGGCCCTTACACCATCAGAACCTCGTCAACGTAAGTGCCTGTGGACTTCCAAAATGCCATCTCTGCTTCCATAGCTGACTGCCACTGAGAGGAGTAGGGACCCTCTATCGCCTTTGCGTAGAGCGCGGAGTCGGGACGTCTGGTGCATCTAGGTCTCCCTCAGGTGCAATCAGCATGGACACGAGATGAGATACAGCAGCTGCAAAGCACTCAAAGTCCTCATGTCTGTCCTCAAGGACGTCCATGCCAAGAGCACACTCACCCCCGACGGACGGAGGACAGACTAACTCTGACTCAGCAACAAGACTAGCGGCGTAGTCGAGACGACAGCGAGCAGCAAAGTAGACAAGCTCAGCAACTAAGGCAAACGCAGCTGTGGACTCAAAGGAAGGGTTGGTGACAACAGTAGCTAGCAGACGCGTGACAGTAGGACTAGCAGCACGAAGGGAGTCAGACTCCGGGTCCGGACCGTCAGCAAAGGAGGACGCAGGAGGAGACGGCAGAAGGACACGCAGTGGATCAGAGGAAGGACGAAGTGCCATCTGGTGCGTGCCGGGGACAGGAGGAGGACGCTAACGCGGAACACGACGACCAGTGCGAACAGCGCGAGCAGGCGACGCAGGACGAGACGCAGGCTCACGACGCTCTGTAAGACCTCCGGGGTGCTCAGTGTAGGGAGAACGAGCAGGCAGTGGGGAGGCTGGCTGTAACTGCGGCTGGGACTGGTCAGGCGGTGGACACAGTAAAGGAGGAGTAAGGTCAGTAGAGGGCGGTAGACCAAGAACCTGCTGAAGCAGGGGAACGAAGTACGGTCGCGGTCGCTCAGCGCCTCCAGAACCAGCACCGACAGCACTAGTACCTCCAGCAGCTCCAGCTCCAGCAGCACCTCTAGCTCCAGCTCCAGCTCCAGCAGCACCCCCAGCCCCAGCAACTCCAGAACCTCCAGCAGCTCCAGCTCCAGCAGCACCTCTAGCTCCAGCTCCAGCAGCACCTCCTGGTCCAGTAGCTTCAGCAGCTCCAACTCCAGCAGCACCCCGAGCAGCTCCGCAGCACCCCCAGCCCCAGCAGCTCCAGTACCTCCAGTACGAGCACCTCCGGGACCAGGTGCTCCAGCACCTCCCGCAGCTCCAGCTCCAGCAGCACCACTTTGGAGGCTCCAGCGCCGAGCAAACCACTCGCGCAGCTGCAGTGGAGAGAGCGTCTCCCGACGGGACAAGACACCCGGAGGACCTCCAGAAGACAAAGTACCCCCAGGCGCAGAACACTCAGGCCCAGCACCCCCAGGCTCAGCACCCCCAAGCTCAGCACCCCCAGGCTCCGCATGCTCAGGCTCAGCCACCTCAGGCTCAGCACCCCCAGGCTCAGCACGCTCAAGCTCAGCACTCCCAGGCCCCACACCCGCAGGCGCAGCACCCCTAGACACAGCACCTGGAGCAGCACCAGAGTCGACAGCTACCTCGACAGGGTTTACCTGGGACACACCTGAGGGAGCAGGACCCTGAGGGGGGACGGGGTCTACCGGAGGAGGACCTGGTGCGAGGAAGAGCGGCGGGGGAGGGAGAGGGGCAGTGCAGTAGGGGAAGAGACGGTAGAAGGGAACCGACTCGTCAAACGTGACGTCCAGAGAGGGCAAGACACGGCGCGAGGCGGGGTGGTAAAACTGCCTGCCAGGCGCGTCAGGGACAAAGCCAAGGAAGACACAGGGCACGGCGCGGGAGGAGAGCTTGTCCGCGGACCTATCGCGTACAAACGCTACACATTTCCAAACCCGGAACACTGACGCAACGCCAACCTCCCCCGTCCAACGCAGTGTGGGCGAGGTCTCCGGCATGGAGACACGGGGCCAGAGGTTGAGCTGATGTGAAGCGTACTGGACTGCAAATGGCCACGGAAAATGGGGGGCAGCCGCATGGATGATGGAGGTACGAGCGACCTCCATGACTAAGCCAATGTGGCGCTCAGCAACCCCATTCTGCTGCGGAGAGGCCGGAAGCGTGAACTTCTCGCGAATGCCCTCCGCACGACAAAAGGCCCTCAAGAGGTCCGAGGAAAACTCACCACCTCTGTCAGAGTGCAAACGCAGGACGGGAAGGTCCGTCTCAAACCTCTCGCAGAGCTGGAGACAAACAGCGCGGATCCAAGGGATCAGAACAGCAGGGACCTCCCCCTTTCGGCGCAAGGGGAGGGCCGTGATGTAACGCGTGTAGTCGTCGACAACCAGCAGAAAGTACCGCTCGTGGCCCTGTCCACGGACGCGGGCTGGGCCCCACACGTCGAGGTGGAGAGTCTGCAGAGGAGCCTCTGTCGGGAGGAACGAGGAGGAGTGAAAATTGGCGCGCTGCCGCCCCTGGACACAGGGAAGGCAAGGAGGGGTAGGCGAGGGTGGGAGGGGAGGTAGAGATCTGGGAAGACCAGAGACAAGGAGACGGGAGTGCATGCCACGGAGGCGTGCCACAGAGGGGTGACCAAGGCGGTGGTGCCAAAGGGGCGTCTGGTGCGACAGGGCGCTACATGAGCAGGGTGCCGCAAGCTGACCTAACGAAGCTACCTGAGGAGGCGTAGTAGTCAGTGTGAACAGACTCGACCCAGGTCGACGGGTGAACGTGGCCAGGTGGCGGCCGGTCCGGGAGCACGTACAGATCGCGACACGCTGTCGTCCAGGGGTGAAGGTGTC